GTGTAATATGAAGGGAAATAAAAAGGGAAACTTTAATAATCGAGACCAAGGTATTTAATATACCGTTTTTGTAATGATATTTAAATAAATAAATAAATATAAATAAATATATATATATATATGTAAAACCTTTTCTTACCTCGCAGGTAAGTACGGCAAAATAAATAGTCAACCCAATGAATAATGTTACCAAGCAATAAAACTAAGCGCTGCTGTGTGTGGTTGAGGATGTACAGCACAACCTTGGCGGAGTATCGTTTTAAACAAAGAAAAAAGAAGAAGAAAGAAAAAGCATGCAAATGAAGAAAAATAGTGAAAACCAATAATCAGCGTCATTATTATTATTATTAATAAAAATCCAAGCTTATGCGTCTAACACTTCTATTCATGACTGAAGATTTTGAAATGAATCGTTAAACCAATCGGTAAAAGTATCGTGTATGAGATGGATAAAGTTTTCGGCATGTGTACGTCAAAAAAGGGAGACTGAGGAATTCCTATTGCAATTCACAGATACTGAGAATAATAGAACACTCAAATGTGGAAAACAATACAAATTGGTGGTGTAATCAAGGAGAGACATTTTATAATGCCTCAATAAGAATTCCTGCCATATTAATGACACATCTTTCCTAATATTTCGTAAGTTTATCCAGAAACCCATAGATTTCCCATGCTATTTAATATTTTATCTCTATTTTTTCTTTAAATGAATTAAAAATCACATTTTTCATTTTCTGAAAATCATCAAAAATAGATAAAAGAGAAGAATACGGTTGTGTAAATTATTAATCTGTATAACCAAGTTTCGATGCATTAAAGTAAAAATGCAACAATAATGTTAATCTCAAAACTTTTCTTCTCCAAAGGGTCGGCATAGAATTTTTTTTAAATATCAATTTTAAAATTATCGTGTTTCTTCTACACAGATTACGAAAGTTTTGGAGCATTAATGTTGAAGAGATGAAAAGGGAGGCTTGTCCCTCCCTTCTCCCTCTTGTCTTTAAGGTAAGCGAATAAAACTATAGGGGAAAAATGATCAAGAATACTCATTCCCCCGCTTTTGGACGCTCTTTTGTTTTGTCTTTTCGGTGTAGATATCCGACTGGGAATCGTTGAGGTTTAGAAAAAAGTCCCGTTTCCGCTCTTCTCTCCCCTCCCGATAGCCACACCGGGGCTTTCTTTACACACCCCGCGCATCGTAGTGGCGAAGCTGTAAATAAATAAATATATTTTAAAAGGGCCAAGTTTGAGTTATGGTGTTAAAGGGAAGGTGCAATCCCGTCTTTCACACCACCACCCACGTCCCCTTAACTCAGGTGGTTTGATAATGTGGTTCCTTCACATTAGCAGAGAGTGGCCTTCGACCTTATTTCTTTTCCTTCTTCCTTTTTCTTTCATGTGCGCTGATTTGAGTCAAAACGGATGGACACTAATCCGGAGTCCGGGGTTCAGGCCGCGGCTTCAAACCACGCGACTAAGTTTGTATGGAGTCCCTCAACTACACGAGAAGGATAGCCTTAAAAGAGGATTTCATCTTCTTGCCCGATCAGGACCGACTATGCGAAAAGCAGATTTGTACGATAGCATGCAGACCTCTGAGGAATAGTGTCCCACTTTGTCTAAGACGTAATGGAAAAGGTAGTTTATACGTCTTCCGCACAGTGAGGACTCCTCTCTTCGACATGAGTAATACAAACTTTATCTGAGCTTTACCTTTTACAAAATCGAAAGTGGAAAAGGGAAACGTGTAGAGGAATATGAACAAGAACCAAGTATATATTTTTAATAAAGGACTAACATATTAGAAGAGCGCTCAGGGAAAGATTAGTTATTCGGCTCGACTCTTACCATGCAAGCGACCGTTGATGCGGCGCAGGTGGTGCTGGTGAAAGAGAGATGTTAAAAGACAGCGTTTAGTCGATTTAGTTTAGAGCAGCAGTCACACACAGAATGAAGAACTATACAGACGCACAGCCAGACCGAAAAGGGCATGGGCATTCGCTTCACCTTCCGCCCTTTATGGGGTCCGAATCCCCTTTGATTCGTCCTACCCCGCCTCGTTGTCCTCCCGCAGCCATTCCTCCTCGAGGCCGTGCAGGAGTTCGCTGACGACCGCG